ATTGTACCACGATGCATGGCTACTGCACTGGACACGGATGTGCCAACCGCGCTAGTTACAACGAAAATTACATCACCGACAATATTATTTAACAGCAAGTAGTTACATTATAAGTTTATATGCAATATTAAAATATAATGGTAATAAATTATAGCAACTATATCTAGATGATTCTATTTTTCATATCGGAACGAACAAAATTATTAATTGCTTTTTCAAAATTTATTTTGTACTTCATTGTTAAATTGTTGCTTTCCTAGTCAAGATGTCCTGTTACCAATGTTGCTCTGCTCCTGCCATAGATTTAAGTTAGTTAAATGTTCTGTTAAAATGCATGTTGTTACCATTTAGGCTTCTTGAATCCACATTGTAAATTGGTGATGTTGCCGTTGGAATAAATAAATAAATAACAAATTACAGCATTTAGGTGAATAAAAAGTCAATACCCCCCTCTCTAATATTTTCTAAGTGAATATTAATGTAACAAAGAAAATTAATGTAACAATATCGTGATTAAACTTTTGACGGGCTACCATTTTGGATAGAGAAGATATAGCGAACTCTGGTTTTCACCATTCTTTAAGTTTTTGTTAACACTTCAAGATGAGTTGTCACTTGAATAGGATTTACTTAAAAATTTTTGAGTTGCCCTTAAAATACCCTCTTTTTGGGGACACTCAAAATCATCAAATGAAACTTCCTACTAAGATTGCAACACCACCAAAAGGATATTTCTGTATATTTACTTAGAAAAATATTAGAGGAGGGGGAGGCCTTGACTTTTTAATCACCCCTTATTTAACCAATTCCAAAGACTAAACATAGTTAATTGCAAGAAATGTCAAAAGGGTTAATGACTTTAACAAGTCAATTAAGAACAAAAGAGAAAAAGCTTCATTTTATTTTGTAAATTTGTATCATTTTTATAGATATATTTTTAGGTTAATATAAATAATATTTATGCTTATAACGTATTAAACTCTTTAATTATATACTACCCTCATACATGAGTTCAAAACGCTTAATTTGAGACATAAATAATGCCTTTCGGACTATTAATTCAAAAGATACAGCAAAAAGATCTAAATTTGCAAGATGGCGGCAGTTTTTTCAAGATGGCGGCCGTTCCCCAACTGGGATTTCTTGGGACTTTGTGTGGGCCACTCATGACATTGTTCTGAACGTTTCCACCAATTTTCAGCCTGTTATCAATTTTGTCCGGGTCAAGGTCATTTTTTGTCTAACTGCACTGGACTATATTGACTTATTATATTATTTACTTTTAAATATATCGTATCTTATTTTTAAGTCTTCATAATGAACAAACTTGTTGTATTTAAATATTTGACCGTAGAAATTATATTGTTATTTAGTTTTTTCATTCCCAAGTTGACGGGGAACACGTTCTAGGAACGAACCGGTAAATTATATTGATGTAAAATACAGCTTTCTCTCTTAAAACTCACTCATGGCCTATTTAGCTACTGTTTTACCCATTGGAGTTAAATTCTAAGTACTACACTTAGATGAGATGTTTACCTATGTATCAGAAGTTAATGGCAAAAATATTAACTAAATTGTAGCTTTACCCTAAATATGCCAGATCATTGTACAATATGACCTCTCTATGGATGATGATAATTTTAGCTTCGAATGTTATTCTTAACAATGCAAAAGAATGCGATCAATACTTAAAAATAAAAATATTAAATTAATATCTTGTTAAAAAAATTATTAGATGCTAACTCTATACATAAATGTATAGAACAATTGTTAAAGGTACTATACGAATATTTTTTACAAATTGAATCTCACATTTTCAAAAACAGTTGCATTATAAAATCACCTTATTGGAAGTTGGAACCTATTCTATTGTACAATGTAAACCAAGCAAGAGCGGTCTACGAACTGACGTCATTAAAGTAGTTTCTGAGCTCACAATATAACGAGAGCAGTATAATAACTATAACGAGTTCACTGAACAGTATCTCGTTATATAACAAGCCAACAACCCCTTACTGAGTGGCTTGTTTACAACTCATTCAGATGCTCAACGAGGTTTGATTAATTATCCTAGTTGGAAACTGAAAATGAACATAAAAATGTTACTTGAAATATTTTACCATTCTTGAAATAGTATATTCCAAAATAACTAATTAAATTAGCAATCATATGCATTTTTCGTTATTTGGTACTAAATTTTTAATTTCGTCCTACAGTGTAACAATGATTTGTTACAATAGTACTTACAGTAATGCTAATAGTAGAGAAAACAAGTTGGATCCAGAGTTATATTATGTTTTTCACTTTGCTCTATGGCTTTGGTAATTTAATGGATTATTTTTTATTTTGGTTTCCAACAAAAATGAAACTTTTCATGTTGTTAGGAAATCTTTTGGATTTCACAGTTAAATAATTTGTACAAAAATGCTACTTTATTAAATGAACTGTGTTAGTTAAATTGAATAAAGCTATGAACCAGCTGTTAGTTAAAACAAATTATATTATACTGCACTAAAACAAACTTAAAAATTTAAAGACTGCTCCAAAAAATAAATTAGGATATCTAGCATTTTACCATGTATATTTTAATAGTCTGTCATCCTCTTACGAAGTAAATGAACGTATCAATGAGTACCTATAACATTACACATAGTATAAATAAGTCAGCCTTATGCATGTCGCATGTCATTATTATCCAAATGCTGAATTTGTGTCACAAACGCTTAATGTTAACAGCTGTTACGTTAAGCAAATTATATTATACCAAAAGCTCGTAAGTGTAGAATGTTAGCGTCAGCTGCTAGACTTTTTAAATTTTAAACTTATTTTCTAAAAAACTAAAACCCTTAACTAAAATTATGGCTTCGACATTCCCTAGTTTTCAGGACTATATTATTACTTGGAAAACAAGAAATAAATGTTTCAACTAGGGATAAATCAGATTTATGGAATGTTATGAGTAATAGTTCAACGCCACTTCGGTCTGGCGGGAGTCTTGTCCAGTCAGCTGTTAAACAGCTGTTTGTTTGTAAACATGTGACGTCATGTCACAGCCGGTATTGTTGAGTTCCTGGACAGCTGTCTGGAGCAGTGAGACAATGATTAATGAGGACGTGTGAATTAAATTGTAATATAATAACAGTGTATCTATTTCTTGGAGACATAACTATGGAGTTAAAGAGTTACATTGTCCTCTGGGGTCTAGATCGAATCCTACCAAACAGTTTTTATATGAAGTCTTCACTTGATGTCGCGGAACCCACCTTAAAGGTCCACTTATCTAGAAACAATAATACATTCGATTAACATATGGACGCATTCTTATCTCAAAAATCGTTTCGGGCTCCGCCCCAGTGGCTCTAGAGTTTCCAATGTTATCACTTTTGCAATTCATATTATTAGTTTTAGGAGTTTTTAATTTTTTCCACATGAATTTGTTAAACCGTCATCTATTTTGTGAGATGTTGTGCTATCATTATTATCTTATGGTTCTAGTATAGAGAGGGACTTTGGTCACTGTGACCGCTGGTTCAGATATCGCCAAGTCACCAATGTACTTAATAATCTAATAATGGCGCAACCCATAGGTGAAGTGCCCGGGTAGAGCCTAGTGTCCTAGGATATGTAGAATATCGTATATACCGTTGTTAAGAAGAAAGTACTAAAATTGCACTGTGATGTGTTAAAACAGTTAGTTTACAACATACACCATGACTGCAAGGTAATTTCATACAAAATGCAACTGTCGCAGTAATAACATGCATGCCATTCTGTTTTAGTTCCCAAGCAGAGCAGTCATTTTTGTCGTAACTTCTCTGTAATGCAGCTTTAAGTTCTCTACAAAACTAAATTGGGTTGCAGCTTATATGCTAAATGGAAGATAGTAGTACCGTAAAGCTATATATTAGCTACATGTTAGATTAATGCATGAGAATCTAATTTTGGTTGAAACTCAGTTGCAATACAACTTGTACAGTATATATATTGTTAATTCTGGCTCAATAAACTATTTGATTTGAATATAATAAAGTTTGTAGATCAGTTAAGAATGTACCCTAAATGTTTAGTACACAATAAACACTCTTATTGTAGCCTAAATTGGACTTTCAATCCCAAAACTATTAATTATAGCATAGCCTCCTCTAATAGAAGGCAGTGGCGTTGTGGCAACGTCGCACCGGCCTGCATATTGTCATGTTAGTAACAATAACAAACGTATAAACATGAACATTGTGCAGACGGTCCAACAGCTGATTCGGTAGGCCGGGAGTGCGGCGTTGCCACTTTTGTCTCGCCACGGCCTTGTATTAGAGGAGGCATTGATTATAGTCATAATGGAATGGACACTAATTATCCTATTACAAATTCGAACATGGTTTTAGTGTGTTTTGTTTGATAACGCTTGAGTACGTTGATGTTCTACTGGATGTTTTTATGTTAAGTTAAGATTGTATATTAACGTTGTCTTAGGTAATATGTTGATAAAAAAGGTATAATGAAAACATTTACTTAAGCGTTATCGAACATAAACAAACATTATAATTGTCTTTAGCCTAACAAGAATGAAAAACCAATGTTTAATACATGTTGTGATTAAACATTCCTAGTTATTCGTACATTTAGTGTACAGCAATCGTTTTATTAATACCGTAAGGGACTTAATCCTATTCATTAAGTGCCGGTACGTATATTCTAGCAAACTATGTTTTACTGCCCTTATTTAGTCGCGATTCCCTACTACACATAAAACAAAATATAACATTTTCCGTTGTAATATTTTATCTAAATCTACAATTCATGTAGGCCTATACCTCACCTCTATCATAAGCTTGGACCTATCTATGCCCGATATCCCGACCTAATCTATAAACACCTATTGTACACAGATACAGGGTTGTATGCACAATGATAAGAGGCTGGCCGTATCACCCCCCCCCCCCCTTGGCTTGGCGGGGGGCGCGCATAACCGCACCGATATCTTCAGTCGTCGTGTGTGAGGCCGCTCGTGCGCTAGTGTCCATCGCTGCGTGTGTGTAGTGTATGTGATAGTGTGCGTTTGTGGTAATTGATTTTGTGAATTAATTGTTTTAAAAGAGGGTGTTATAGTTTTGTATAGAGTTTGGGGCGTTTACAAGTTTCGGTATGCCTATTTGGAATTTAAGTGTTCAAGTAGATATTTTTGAAATTTAAATTAAACGATTCTTAAATGTTAACACTAAAATGATATTTAAAATTTAGGTAGTAGGACATAGTTAAAATATTGATTAATTTTTTGCGCGTTTACCATCGTAAATCAAAAGTAATCGTTAACCAATTTCATAAAACTTAAAAGTTTATCGGAGTTCTATCCAGCTAATATTTTTTTAGCCTTCTTGCCTTATTGTTTTCTTTTTTTATCTTAATTCAAAGTCGTTCTCTTGATATATTTACCGGTACACCTTGATAAGAGTAAATAAACCTTTTTAAGTGAGTTATTCAATTTACTAAGGTAATAACACAAAATAAAACTTAATGCTCATAGCACTGTATAATCCCTCACAGTTCCCATAGTAGAAAATCTATTCTAATCGATCAAATCAAAAGGGTAGCCGACATTGAGCAACAAATTTCTAAATTGAAACCAAAATTTAACTGTTCATTTTCAAATCGACTTTACTTCAATTAGAAATCTTGTAGAATATTGTTAAGCCCCAATGTACAATCAATTCCGTTGTGTGTTATTACATTATTTTACAAACACTTGCAGTTCAACACTCAAAGAGCATACATATATTGAAACTAAACATTTACTTTTTAACATTATATTGAGCTTTTCAAAGCGTACATTTGTTAACATAAATTATTCTCTCTAAGCTATCCAGGCTTGTTAAGTTACATTAGAAGGATTTTGTCGTAATCATATAATACCAACGGACCTAAAGTATGCCATCATGAAGCAAGCTTTAACCAATTATGAAACTAAACTAGCGTTTTACAGAAACCTAACCTAGTTACCAGACTTGGTAATTCATCCCAATTACCTCGGGTTGCTGGTAATTGAATATCATAATGTAAATTGGCGTCAAGTTGACGTTAATAGATTATAAACATAAATTATTCAGTTAATTTACTGGTGATGGTAATCGTTAATGTTTTTAATGGCAAGTAACCGTTAAAACTGTGATGATAGTTATGAGTTTGATGTGGTACGATTCATTATACCTATAAATGCACTCTGATAATTATAAATGAATTAAATCATTGGACATTGATTACAGCTTTAACCCATGGATTAATTAATATTCATAACACACGCTTACCATAACAAAAGGTATTTCCAAAATCGTTTAAGCAGTTAGGTATTGTCAAATAAATCTTTCTTTAATTTTATAATTCCACAAAATATTTCGTAAAGAAATTCAATACTAAAAATATAAGGTACACGCAAGCATATTAGTAAGTTTTCTTACTTATTTTCAACGGAATTTTCAATCTTTTACAAACAACGACCATTTAGTTGTGTAATCTTTCATAACAAATATGGTCTTTTAGGTGGATTTTACTAGATCTGTCTTCGATACATCCCTTCATAAAACGCCGTGCGAAAAAGGTCCATCACAATTTAAAAGAAATTTTATACAAACAACCTGGAATACAACTATTTCATTTGGAGCTAAACTAACAGTACACATGGGAGAGTTTTGTTCATTGTCAGCTACAGTATTTTATTGATTTAAGGGTGCTAAAATGTTTACATTATATTTGTGTAAATTTATAATCAACCATTTATAACCAATTATTCATTCATAGAGAACATAATTGAATTAACCATAGGCCTACATGAATTGTGCTACTAATCATTGAAAGTTTATATTCATATTGGACTAGGTGGACTAAATTTCACCAAATTATTTTACTGTGACAGATCATACAATTTTGTGGTTTTATTCTAAAACTAACCTCTACTTAAACACGGGAATTGAATTTCGCAGAAGTGTGAAGAGTATATGTGAAATGTTTCACCAACACTCTACAGTGGATAGGCTAGTGACTTACATAGTGTCACTGTCATTGTATTGTTATCACTACTAGACTACGGTCTATCACTATCACTATGACAGTCTGTCCCTGTAGTGATGTGCATTGCTAGTGACAGCGGTTATGTGATGGACGGGTTGTGTTGTCAGCGAAAAGTACGGATATGACAGGGCATTGGCATTCTCGAATCCGAATGTGTTCTTTTCACAATGGGTGTATTTTAAAATGAAATTTATTTTTGGAAAATTCAATTTAGATTAGTTACAATCTTTTGCTTTATAAATTTGTCCCATTTAAATTTGTGAACGATTTTTACTTGAATTAAAAATAAATTTTACTAACTAGACTAACATTATAAAAATAAATAAATATTTTGTCGCTGTATGTAAAACCACGTTGTTATGTAAAACACTGTTATTATTGAGAACATTATTCAGTTTAGACTACTGTACATAAGGTTTGTAATTCGACATATTTTCAGAGGTTGGATTCATAGATTTTGCATTAGGCCTAAAATAATATGAGAATGTATATTTCGTTATTTCGTAAATAATAATAATTCTTTATACTTTTATAAACAAATCATATTCAAAAAGTAATTATGAATATTTTCTGAAACAATTCATACGACCACACAAAAGCTAATACAATATGTTTATTTTTTGTTTAGTTAGTAATAGTGGAAACAGTTTCTAAAAGATTAAATTAATCATATGACTTTTCATGAAAGGATATCTCCAACAAAAAGACACATTCCTTTGTAAAAAATGTCCATACATGTATATATGGTCCTACATCTAGAGATCGGATCTGAACCACTAGACAGCACTATCTCACATCTAAAGGCCATTCACATTAGTAATTAAGCAGGATTCGAAACCAAGGCTCTAAAGGGAGTGAGCTGGTCTAGTGGTAGAGCGCAGAACTTCAGTCCCCGAGGTCCTGGGTTCAAATCCCGCCAATACCTGATGCCGAGACCTTCTAGGACTACACTGAAGTAAAGTTTTAAAACAACAGCCCCGGGCTAGAACCTAACGTCCTAGGATGTAAAGAGGGAATAAAACAATCAGACGTAAATCTCTTCCTGTTTTATACCCTTAGCATTTTACATCCCAATGCTGAAACATTGTGGAACCAGCGTTCGTTTATGAGTTGTAATCTGGCAACGACAATATATAAGTGTGCGGCTTTATAACCTCTTATCTACATCACATGAAAGGTGTAACATTAGATAGTGACGGTAGCTCGCGGTCGCTCCCACAGATAGCAATGAGAGGGCGGCGTGGTCCGTAAACGCCAATTTACATGTAAAACATCCCAGTCTGGACCGGACTGGAGTGAGAAGGCGGGGCACATTCTTGTGAACAAATGAGAAGACGGCGTTGTCATTTGAGGGATTCAAATTTTATTGTGATCTACGGTATGAACATTTGAACAAATGCCATCGGATATACAATTACAATTCGGTAAATAAAAGTTCGATGTTAGTTGTATGGCTAATAAATTACAAATGATTAGCTTACACATCAGCTTAAACTCAATATTAGCTTCTAACAGATTTTGGAACTCCCAAAATTACCAATAAAAATCAATTTAAAACATCTTAAAACTACTACAGGATACGGCGAACCAAAATACACTTCCAAGACTTTATCTTTATTTAAACATATAAATGGCCTCAGCGGGACATTTCCTCTAATCACAATTCCCAATTGTTTAGAATTGGGGCCACAACATGTTTATTTTATTGTGATAACCCCGTAATAAAAAAGTTCATAAATTCTACAAAAAATAATACAAAACCTTAATCTGAACACATTTTCATATTACTCACAAACATCGTAATTACAGCCTTATATGTTTTATTTCAAAAATTTCAAAATGAGGTGTCATTGCTAAAAATTATTGTAAGGAAATCCCCTGAATCTAGGCCTACACTCATACAATATAAATGTTGTTTTCTCTCACTGGTCAGTTTTACTTTAGCATCACAACATAACAACATTACCTGGCTCATTTGAACAATCTAAATCATCTGTTTAATGTTTATGTTTACTTTTTGTAATTTGTTATGATTAAATTCATTTTTCGTTCTAACATTTTAAAGTGTTGCTATTAGTTTAGTTTAATGCCTTATACCCAGAGTGAAAATAATATTTTTAGCAAATCTTAATCTCCTTCACTAAACTTTAGCGCAAATTTCACAATCGTCACTAACATTCCATTGTGCAATTCTCAAGAATTACAAGGCGCGGAAGGTGGTTTACGCGAAGAATTCAGTGAACAGTGAGAGTGGAATACAAAACAGCTGTGTACGGTAGCTCGACAATGACCTTGAGCAGCCTTGAAGGTCACTCGGTCTGCAGAGGTGGCTAGTGATAGTGATAGTGAGGTCATCGTTTGTGATAGTGACGTAGCAAGAGTCAGCCATGGGAAAGAGCAGCAGCAAACTCAAAAAGAAGGATCGGACTCAAAGTAAGTAGAAATGTTTGTAAAGATTTTGCATTTGTGATGTTATCTACTTAAAAGAATGATTCGCAGAAATTAGTGTCACTCGCTATTTTGTGGTTGTGCTCGCCTTCAAAACTGAAGATCAAACCAGCAGATCTTAAGCATGATCGACTCTATATCCTGATACTATTTGCCATCAGGCAAAGTATCATTAATGACGCTACCTATCAGATAAGGTCGGCATTAAATAGTTAAATGACCATGGTTTGGAGGGGTAAGGGGACTAACAACGTTAAATATTCCAATTCGATTTTGACAGTTCATATTTAGAAAATAAAATTTGGTTGGTAATGTAAATATATACAAGTGATAGGTGTCTCAAAACTCACATTAACGTATTTTATACGAATTGGGCAATGTATTATACTTTTAGCAAATCAAATTTGTTATATTTACAAACCTTACAACAATTACAAGGAAGATACACAGTAGTATTTATATTGCACAGTCTTTCTGTTGATGATTACAGTTTTAAAGCATTCGTCATTCTTTAACAAGGATCCTGGTTCAATGAAAATAATGTTTAAGGGTAAAATGCCTAAAAATAACTCTTTAAAATCGTAATCTCAATTACTTAGTTCCCTTAAGCACCTACCTTTTTTCTATAAATAATGAAGAGATTTCAGTTCCTAAATCAGTTTCACTAAATCAGTTCCTTAAGTTTAAATCCCATGGCCATGATAGTCATGCGTTTTAATTAAAATATATTTAAATAGAAGCTACGTCAGGATGCAAGCTCAGAAGAAAGTAAGGTAGACCTGAAATATGTTCTCAGATCATCTATAAACATATAACCTTTTATTTGGTGAGGTGGGGTTCTAAATCATTATGACAGCCAATTCCTTAAGTGCATGAATGGCCTCCGGAGCTTAAGTTCCGCAACAAAGCAGCACATTAAAATGAGCCCTTAAGCTCCACGTAAGAACACTAGGTACCAATCTCATCTGATGGATGTAAAATGGTTTAAACACACCACATACTGTTGCTAGCATTCTTTGGAATTAACTAACAGTACCAAAAGCACGAAAAATCAAATTATCAGAGTTTCCAAATAAAGGTAATGAAGTCCAAAATGCAGTCAAAGATTAGGTGCGGTAGAGTCCAAATCGTTATGAGACGTTTTGACAGCCAATTACTTTAGTATATGAGTGGCCTTTGGAACCAAGTTCCACAACCTAAACACGAGACCAATCTAGTCTATAAGACGTACAATGGCTTGAAAATGCAACAAACTATTCCTTACTTCCTTTGTATATATCTCACAGTACGTACAATCAAATGATCTGAGCTCCAAAAGGTAATGTCCAAAGATGTTGTCAAAGATTTTGCAACGTCCTGGAAACGTGCCTTTCACCTCCTGGCTGTGGGCGTTGTAGGATGGTATCTGGATCTGTAGGGGTCCAAGAAGAGTAGGAGGCTAGGGTTGGGCTTCTGCCGTCATTAAACCAAACAAGACTTCATTTCCAGCCTCTGGACCATCAAGTCCGCCCACTGGTGCAGTTAGCAGATCAACTAGTTTCAGTTCCTGCAAATCGGCGCAATTGTTTTAATGGGCTTTGTACGATTTGAAATTTTGGTGACGGATTTGTAGTACGGATTGAATAGATGTTTTTTACTTACGTTTATGATGTTTGTTCTTGGAGAATTTCACAATAAAGTGTGAGAAAAGCTGGAAATCCGTTTTTGCAATTTGGTGCAATTGTTTTAATGGGATTTGAACGATTCAGTGTTTTGATGTCGGATTCGTAGTACGGGTTGAATACGGGTTTTAATTACGTGCGAATATTTTGTCTTAGAGCAAAAGTGAAATTTAATCGCAATGTGCCTTGGATTTAGTTTTGTAAACGGTAATTTTTTTCACACGTAATAGGAAGAAACAGTAGTAAGTAAGTGTAATATTATGTATTTTACTACATTATACTGCTACGATCATGCCAAGTATTAAACATATTTCCCAGCAGGTTTGTAAACTTTATGGTTAGGCCTTATCTTATTAAAAGAATTTGTTGGATCTTTGTGTGGGGCAAATTGACACCTAAATATTTATTTTATAGACATATTGGGTATCAATTTAAAGCTCTTATCCTCTAGATGAGCCTTTTGTGGGTTTGGAAGATATCCCGTGAAAGCCCTTCGTCCTATAGTCCTTTAAAATTGCATAGTTTGTGCTGAATTCTGCTGTCAATCATCTGAACTTTTTCAAGTTTACATTTGTTTACATCGAAACAGATGGCCATGATACAATTTTGTTTACATTCATACGAAAATGGGATTATCTGTTGTTGGTTATGTTTCAGTGAATTCAAGTAAAATATTGTTATGTTAGTTGTGTAATATGTAAGTAAATAAGAAAACTACTTGCGTTAGATTTTGTGTTTTTTCTAGTGTCTTTCGTTAGTATTTGTAATTTTTCTAAGATGCCTCCAATAGATCGCACACGCAATGAAAATAATAGGGATATGATGAGACATAACAGTTTTCATCCTTCTCAAATATATCAAACATATCACGGATTTTGAAGTCACGAAGTGACACAGGATGCTGGTCTGAATTAAAAGATTATTTCGCTCCGGATTTCTTCGAGTGAGGGTTAAATTTTAAATCATTTACATCAAAATAAAACTAATTAAGGGAAATTAACTTCTTATCGTGTAATACTCGTATTTAATGAGTAAAGCTCAACACTAAAATCCATCATAAATTTGAGAAATAAGCGATTTTAATTCAGCACACTAAAATATCACAAATATGAGACGCACATGAATCTTTATATTCAGATTTACGATCGGATGAGAAACCTACTACAGTATTAAATGTCAAATAACATTTATAAGCTTCAGTTACAGAATAGCAGAGATTAAGTTCTCAAGCAACCAATTTACTTTTAAAGTTATTTTGTTTAGACTTTTGGTTAACTAATCTAATCTAGACAAAACTAACCTAATGTAACCAGACACAAAACCCTTTTATGTTTTCGATTAAATATTTGTATGAGCTTTATTTAATATTTAGTACTTTTTTATTTAATACTTTAGCTGATACAATTGTGAGCGTTCTATACAATGCTTAAACACAATACACAATGTCTATTCAAATTAAAATAATTGCTATTATTACTACGATAGTATTCAAACTTATAAATAATTACTCATTTGATAAATCCTTAAAATATATACCTAAGTAATTAATAAATAAATTTTAGACACTGGAAGCACTAACGATTGCACGTTCTTGTTCATTCATGAAGCAAGAAACCGTCCACATCCAGTTTACATTAAGCATAGGTAAAGATCATTAATGATATTGGCATAAACTCCAAATTGATTGCTCATTAGTGCTTGGGTATAATGATGTTTGGGTTCAGTAAGACGGGAGTTCAGGTATGTGGGTGTGTTTGTTTGTTTGTTTCTTCCTCACCTGGTTTTCTCCCTTTCTTCACGGTTCATTCAACCTGTTCTATACAATTCATTACGCTGTTTGGTTTTCTAATTGACACACATCATTTGCCATCCCACCTGGGGAGCTCAACACTTTTACTTTCTTTTCTCATTTGTTTTTCTCGTTCTTGACTCTTTTGTGTAGAGTATTTAGTTTGTTTAATTAAATTTAGAGTGAACATAAGGTGGTGGTGGTAGACACTTTAACTTTCTTCACTTTTCTTTTGTTTTTCTCGAGTTTTAAAAGTAAAATAAAGTTCAATAAAATACTATTTAGTTCGAATTATTGACTTGAACATTATTTAAGGCAACACAACCAACGATTATATTGTAATGTATAATACATAGCTGAATAGCTGAGTGGTTACGGGGCTCGCCTTACAGTTAAAGGGTTGTCGGTTCGATCCTGAGAAAACGCAATTGTTTGGCAATTTTTCTAATCTGGGCTTTGATAATTGGGCTTTCAATAATGCCCCTGGCTAAAGAAACTGCTAATAAAGAAGCAAAAGGCACACCACTTCACTCTACAATGATGTTATATGCGTATTCAGATTAAAATACGGATTTTATGTGGGCGTTGCTTCTTTCAGTAACGATATACATATAATACCATAGACTAACCAAGGGAGTATGTTTTATCTATGATAATACCTACACAACAGCAAACATGCAGACTAATTGAATTTAGATGTAGGTAGATATAAAACTTGAACGAATAGTGATTTTTTGCCTCTGGAGACATCAAAATAAAATTAGTAAATCGGTACCGGGTCTATGTCTTTCCGTGCCACCCGCGGTCATAGCCCTATATGGAAATTTGCTAAACAGATAAAAGCATAGTACGTGCTCGTGGTAATCAAAGCTTTATCGTAGTGAGTATGGGTCATGAAATAAGTGTGGATCTGTTGAGCCTCGTAAAGGTTGAAAATGAATTCGACTCAAGCTCAATCCTACTCGAACCAAATCAAGATGAAGTAATAAGGGCACAATCCTTGAAGTAGGGTAGATTTCAAAATAAAATCAAGTATAAACCCTACCTTGCCAATTATTCACCCAATTCTTGCCTAACCTATTTGATAGAATACTAAATTATTTGATCGATTTTTGAATAATTCCGCTATGTTTATTTGTTTTATAAAAGTTACTTGGTGTAGTGCGTACCTCAAAACAGATCCCTGTATTTTTTTTATTCAGCTGTAATTTCTCTTGAAACTGAAGCACACGATCCAAGCCTGAAACAAGAACGCGTTTTCATATCTTCAACACATTTGCATACAGACTCTTTCATCTGGGTGGAAAATTATTCATAAGACATCTCCGGGGGGTGAATGAAGGAACTTTGTTACACCCTTAGCGAAACGATTTCCTCCCTAACGCCTGAGGGCTTCAGTCACAGGATGTTCTTACTTCTCATAACCTTTTAGCAAGATGAATGCGAAATGTGCACCTAGAAAGAAATAATAATGTGCATAAATGTTTTTTATTAAGCTTTTTGGAGGCTTTGTTATTAGGCTGTTTAGAGGGTGT